CAGACAATTCTGGGTCTACATCTCCGATAAAGACTGGTGTGGCCATGGTTCAACACAAAGTGTGCTGGCAGCTGAGCAGCATGGCAGCAATGAACAATGGCTGAAATTACGTAAAAACCACCTCTCAGTGAAGAGGGAGCATTTCTGACTAAATGATGGAAAAATGGCTGTCTCTTTTCAAAGTACATCGGAAGCTAGAGAAGAGAGCATGAAAAAAATAGGGAATTCAAGAGTATTCACTCTACCCTGGGAGAAAATGAGGAAAAATAACCTCAACTGCTTTATTTAAAGAACCAGAACAGCTACATGGCTACTCTAAAGCACAGAGGAGGGTAGTGAAGGATGTGGAACTGTCTTGAGCTCCGGAAAAGGTGGACTGAATTGCCAAAGAAATTTATGACCAGGACTATTAGCTTCCTGTCTTTGATGTCTATTCTTGGCTTTCCAGAAGCATTATGGCATTCATGAGGTGAAAATCGCATTGGAGCCAAGGTCAGCTAAGGCTGATGCAGTCTGTTCTACTGCAAAGCTGAGAAATTCACTCTGAACTGCTTCAAGATGCTGACTTTAAAGCCTGAAGACACTTCACTGAGGGCCTGAGCTTACTTCCACTGAATCAATGAGAAGTGTTTTTCATGAGCTTAATGAGAGTGTGATTGCATCTCCAAGCCAAAAAATGAATCAGAATCACCCTCCCAGTAAAACATGCTGTCAGGGAGTACACTCTTATTTTGTCCAGCACAAATGTTTTCAAGGCATTAGCTGCACCTTAATAATTCACCATTAAAACCCAACAAAATACTTTCAATAATGCAATAAAGCATTTCTTAAAAAGAAATGTAAATAAATCAATAAAATTTATTTCCAGAAGTCAATGAATATAACTTTTTAATAAGCTGAATTCTGACCACAGTCTTGAAGGTGCACAGCACTCTCAATCAAAAGTTTTAGCAATGACTGAATGTTCTCAGAACTTAGCTGTGTTTGGCCTTCAGTGAAGCACATCACAGAAGGAACTGGTAATTAACTGGTGATGGTGGTAGTCACAAACAACTCAGGACACACACAACTCTTCCTAAACAAAACTTCCAGAACTACCAATGGCCCAGGACAAAGGATCTAGGCATCTGGTTCTACAGTTGTGGGTCTCAGCATACTAAATCACAGGTACTATTGAAAATTTTGCTTCGTCTTTGTCAACTTACAACGGAAGTCTACACGTTGAAGATAGGAGGGTGGAAGTCAGCTAATTTGTCCACAGAATCCTCAAGAAGAGATTCTTGTTTGAATCAGCTATTAAGCTGACCAATATCTGGTAATTTTAAAAAATGCTAAATTAGCAGAATTTGTCAAACTTTGACAAACAAAAAGTATGAAGCCACTAGTTCAATTTCAATTTAACAGGCACAACTGTAAGATTTAGCAATAAACATACAGCCTATGGGGCCAACTTTTGTCCGATTCAAGCACATGGCAAGATTCCCTTTGGTTCAGCCATGGCCAGCATCATGCCCTTTGGTCCCAAGTGAGCAAAGCACTTAGAAGCTGAAGTTGAGCATATTTTAAGTGTATTCTAAAGTGCTGAGCTGACTCAAGGCCCTCCTCGTGCTGCTCTGTAATACAGACGTATGTTTGTAATATGGGCAATTTGTTGAAGCCAAAAATGTAGGTTTTCAAAACTCTTTTGAGAATCAATTATTATTATTTTGATTAGACATTCCCTTATGGAGTTTGAAGCCTAAACATTGTGGCATTGAGTTAATGCAGATGAACCAGAAAGGAAAAGTGCATTAGCTGGTAAAGAATCTCTCTGCTGAATAATCTAAACTCAAGGCATTTTTTGATCTATGGTCCATAGAAGACCTGGGAACTATTAGCAAGAGGCCTGTGAAAGGCAGCTAAGAAGAGCAAGTTTTTTTATGCTATACAGTAATCTACTTATGTGAAATGTCTTAAATGATCTCCACAGTTCCATGGGAAAAACACACAGGTAGGTGTGCACAATTTAGAAAGACTAAACCCCATTGACCTAAAATGTTCTAATGCGCAAGAAAGGTTGACCTTCCTTGGGAGGTGCTGGAATGTAAAATTGTGGCTAGGTCCCCATCAGCATCCCACCAACAGACATCTCATAAAAACACTTCTTGAGGTCATGATTAAAAACCCTACATAAAACTGGAGATCAGAATTATTATCTTTTTAATTAAGAAGTGACCTTTTGCTATAGGGTTTTTTTTAAATAAGTTTAGCCATAGTAAGATGACACAATAAAAAAGCTGTCTAACAATTTATTGTCCCAGCCACATTTCCTGGCTCAGATATTCTGGTCTGACCTGACTGTGCGTGGCACAGGAAAAATGTCAATCCACACTACTGTCTTGCTCCCTAACCAGTGACTGTTTGAGTACTAGTTCACACTGCAAGGCAAGTCATAACAAACATAATTTCAAAAAAAGTTTATGCTTCAAATCATACCCTCTTTTCCTACATATTTAAAAATTTTTCGTCCTTCTTTCTGTAGCAAAGTAGTCAAATGGGTAAAAGAAAGTAAAAATGCTGAAAGGTATATTTGCAAAACAAGAAGTAGATCAAAACTCCCTTTGAAATTGTTTTAAAAACCTCAAACCTTAAGCATGCCCAGGGGCTAGACAAACTCAACTGCTTGAAAAAAATTCCAAAAATTAATCAGGAAGTCTTTTTTTTCTCCCCAGCTCCACTGCAGTATGAATGCTGCTCTAGCCTACATTCTTCTCTGGTGCCCATGAGATAAGGAGGTTACTTCAGAAAACTGTCCGTTGACAATTACTTTGGCTAAGGCACCTTTGCAGAAGTCATACAGGCCCAGACTGGGAAATGGGATGGTGTAAATCTGCCCTGTGACCAACAGCTGTTACAGTGAGTCCTAAAGACACCAAATCTACCTGGCCTACATCCACCACCTTTAACGGAGCTGCCCGGACGGGCAGGAAGCCCTGCCCTCTGGCTGCCTGGGACATGGGACAATACTTCACAAGGGCAGGTGATGAACCCCTGCATACGCTAAGAGACAAGTGAAACGTAAGAAAAAAAAGTCCAAGGAAATACTCCATGGGGTATTTCCCCATCAACAAATAAAAGGCAGCAGAAAGAGGACAAAGCCAGCTTTCACGCTTCCTTCACTTCCAGCTACCCCGAAATGGTTTCTCTCAGTTGGCACTCTGGCTTCTCAAGGCCTAGAAGTTTTGTAGAACACAGGCTTCAGTGCCAGTTTGGAGATTAACTTTCAAGTCTGACTATGACTGCTGAGACCAGAAAGTTCTGCTTATGAAATCAGAATAGGATAAACGAAAAGATTTCACGCACTAGAACCATAGTCATAGCCGGGTTTTCCCACAGATGATATTTTTATGGGTCTTCTTCACCACATCTGTAATATGTACTGTTCATTTCCATTTGTTGACTAGAAAGTGCAGAGCTCTCCTTTGTCTAGTATAAAATAACCTGTCAGTAGCTAATGCATCACAGATTCAGTTTTGCTCCTGGTAAAGTCAAAAGGGATACTGATGGCAGCAGGATTAAAGTCAGCCCTAGAGTACTGTTTTACCAACCTGATCCCTGAAGGTAGTTCCTTGCATGTTTAACTGTGCACACATGAATGGTTAGTCTCACCAACTAATGTAGGACTATTTAACACGTGAAAAGTTCATTATTTTCAGGATCAGGGCCACCATCACATAGACAACTCAATAACTGCATTCCTATTGTTTAAATAACTATTCGAATGTTGTACATGTCTGGAGAAGAAAGTGCGACAAAAAGTCTGTTACCGTCCACAAAGTCACTTCTCTTCCCCTAAATACTGGTCCTAAAATGTATTTACAGCTGTTGACTTTCCCTGCATGTTACTCTTATCATAAAAAATATGTCTTCAAAACATCCTCTCCCTTAATTTTTAATCCTACCAAAGCAAAAATAGATACTTTAATAGAAAAATACAAGATAAAAAATATCCTAAAAATAAAATGGTAGCATGGAATGTCATTTTTACACAAAAAAGATCCCCTTTTGAATTGCCTCAGCTATACAAACACTTTCGTATTTACAATTTTGGATGCAGTCCTGTGCTCACTGAAGTTAATGGGATTTTGCCATTGACTTCACTGGGAGCAGGAGCAGGCTCTACCTGGACTATATTTGCCTCTCTGAAAAGTCATGGCAGTGGAAAGCAAAGAGCATGATAAAACACATATAAGACTGAGGAATTAGCCAGTCCTCTCAGGAGGCCTGACTGTCTTCCCTCTCACTATTTCACACCAGTGAAACTCCTCATCTTTCACTGGAGTTTTTCCTAACTCCCTGCACCTAAGAGGGAGAATCAGTGCTTTTGATTGTGATACTACACAAACAAGGAAAGAATGGTTTGTGTGGGTTTCCACCTGCCTGACTTTCTCAGTGGAGTTAATTACACCCAAGTGCCTGTTCCCTCCCAGAACTAAACTCCATATGCCCAATCTTGTATCCCCTGTAATTAATGGCAATGATTCAGTGATGCAGGATCATACCCCAAATGAATCCCTTTTTTCCCTTTGACAGCAACCAGCACCTGTGCCTGTGAAACCATACTTGATACCCATGGGTGAGATGCAATTAAGGAAGGAGGTGGTAGGAGCTGGAAAAAAAAAAAAAAAAAAAAAAGGGAACAGAATGAGGCATTCCCCATCAACTAAACCCATATCTGCTGCCCTTAATATATGCCTTAAGAAATACTTTCTTTACATATTAAGTACATCCTATAACATCAAACTGCATCATTTTCTTTCTTCATGAGATGAAAGGCCGTGCGGCATATGTGATTACTAAATCATTCCTGAGCTTCTGAAAGAAATTAAGACAAAATTACTGCTTAAAAGAGTGAGTTCTTCAAGAGCCTCTTCTTTTTACACTGATGTCTTTGGTTGTGTACTTTTCCCTAATTTTTTTTTTTTCCCTAGGAAGAAAGGGATTCTTTTTCTTCTTTTTCTTTATGCAGCAGAAAAATGAGATCTAATGGAGTCTTCACGTAACTGCCGATGTTTCCCCATGTTACAGTCCTCCTGTCGAGTTCTTCTCTCAATAGTTATTCTGTATTTCTTTCTGCATGAAAGGAGAGGAACAGAGTGAGAAATCCTTCTCCAGCTATAGGATAACAGGACTTCCCTTATAAAGAATGCCTGTAGGGGACAGCTGGGTGCCAGTTGAAAAATGAAATGTGGCAGAATGTGAAACCCTGGTCAAAGATTAAAGTGGTTTGCCTCGAAACATTTTACCCAGGCTCAAGAATGCCTGTTAATTTCTACACGGCAGTCTCAAAGCACCAAGACACAGACGTTTGCTTCTTTGAAAATTTCTGATCTAAGTGATTAGGAAGTTTTTGTGAAGTCTCATGTGAACTGTGTCACATCACTGCTTAATATTGATCAAAGCCAAATTTCTTTCCCGTATACGGGCCGGGGGGGGGGGGGGGGGGGGGGGGGGGGGAACAGGGACGGGACGCACTTTCAGCAGAGTTCAAACAACAGATCTGACTCCTTATTCAGTTGGGTTTCTCACTGAAACCATGTATTAACTAACTAATCCTCCCTTTTCCCTCTGAGAAAGCTACTATGTTTGTAATGTCAGAGGAGGTAGTATGATGAATTAAGAAGGGGATGTAGAGGATAGAGAAGAAATAAATACAATTGCTCATGCATTAAACACAGTTTTTCCTGTGTGTCTTCCTCTACGGCCTTTTGAAGAATACTGTTATGTTACTTTATACATCAAACAAGGCCTCTGCCTGCCTTTTAGTTTCCCCTTTAGTAAACAAATCTCCCCCCCAAATCATAAGAAGATTCACTTTTATATTTTATGGATTTATGCTCCTACTGACTTTCAGGACCAGTTTTTCAGAAGGGTCTGAAACCCTGTATGCACATTCGTCCAGCCCCACGTGCATACAGTACTGCTTGTGCAGATGCATGACAAAAAGCTTGTATGCCAAGGAAAGCTCTGCTCCACTTGCACGTGTAGCAGGAGTCAGAGCTAGATATGTAGTAGTGGAAGAGTAATTTTCAAAAAACCAAGGTTTTAATTTGGTAACGTGGCTTAATAGAAAGTAGGAACCTAGAAGTTCTGAAAAGATTCTCTAGACATTTGTGTCTGTATCAGTAGGCTCCAAAATAACTTGAAAAACCTATGTTTTTCATCTATGTATTTTCAAGTCAGATCCTTCCATAGGTTAGAGCATGCACAGTAGTAGCTCATGCACAAGGACAGGACTGCTTTTTAGCAACGTAGCTCTTTAAGTTTAAATCCTTTCAAAGCTACATTATCAGAACTACCACCTAGATCTTTTAACAGTTTGCATGCACACTCAAAACTGTGTTTGCATGCTCATTTGTGGTAATTACAGACTCAAATGAGATGTAATCAGAAGGTACATATGCAGTTTGAAAGGTGCAGAAGCTGAAGGTACAAATTACTTCCAGGCGCACAATTGATAGACCTACATTTCCTGAAAATCTGACCCATTCATCCTGATACACTATGTTTCATATGTTTATTCTAATGGTGGAATTAGAGGGTTGTCCCTGTTCCTGCTTTGAGTGAGTATAATCAGATCTCCAGAGTGAAATTCACCCATGTGCCTTTACACATCTCCAACGTACAGTTCCATCTGACAAAGTACTCACGGCTTCCTTCAATGGAGAGAAACAGGCATTTCTAAGAGGCATTCTTCTGACCTGGTTTAGCTCTTACATGAGGATGACATGAACTGCACCAAAAAAAGTACTCATTCCTCTCCTCTCATCATAAATACAAAGACTCAGATTGAGCTGAGATGTGTACATCTACTTTTACAGACACCGACCTTTGCCCACATAGATTTCCAATCCAAATCTTTGTGTCAGATGACTAGAGTTTAAGTCCTGCTCCTACAATGATGCTTTGCCTAGTTTTATACCAGCTCAGGATACGACTTTTGCCTCATTTTTTGTCCTCACATACCAATTCCCTCCCAGTATCAGCAATGCCAAAAAACACACCTAAAAATTATCATCTCAGATGGAAAATGTATAAAAGATGCAAGAACCTCTGATGACATACAATATAAAGACAGATTTGTATTTTCTTTTTCTTTTAAAGACAGTCTTTAATTAGTCCCAGCTAACTTGTCTCAAACCCAAACAACATATTATATAAGCACCAAACACATGCAAGAATAAAACCACCCTGCAGAATTTCAGTTGTAAGCACCTGATGAATAATCCTGGTTCTGGGATCTTTTGAAACCCTGGTGGTGTGCTGGTGAATTGAAGCAGTTTTTGCTTGTTTCTTTTTGTTAATATTTTTTTATAAACAGATATTTTTATTGGATTGAATTATTTGATTCTTATATGCAGAAGTTAATTCTGTTCTCCTATCTGCCTTTTCTCTTCTATAGCATAAGAGGATAAATTACAGTACATATAAGATGCTGAACATGTATAACTAATTTATTCTGTCAATGTAGGATCAACTCTCAAGACTTTAGACTTGCTGACTAGCAGTGTCAGAATTATTTTACTTAAACAGGAATAAAACACTAATCGCCCTGCACTGACCTCAGCTTATTAAGTTAAATGCACAGCTTTGAAATCGAAATGTTGTCTTATACCAAAAGAGAGTCTCCTTCTAGCTTCCAGTACAATTCCACTCCGTACTCAAAAACTAAGCACGGTACCAGGCAAGTGATATAAATCTGTTGCATGATCACAGCCTGCACAATTGTACTGGCAAGGAAAACCAAACAAAGAAGGCTTTCAAGGCCAGGGCACTTTACTAAAGCAACTGTGAATGACTGGAACTCACTGGAATTACTTCCATGAGTAAAGAGATGTAAGTGGTTACAGGATAAGGCTCTGAGTCAATAAAATGATTTGGTTATACACAAAAGGACAATCAAAGTGTGTTCACTGTCTTTGGTGGGAACATTACCACAGATTATTATGGTGCCTCTCTGTCTCCCATCAAGGATGTGCTGCCAGGAGCTGAGAGGTTTGGATGATGAGTAAAGAGTTTTACAGAACTTTCAATGAATTGGACCAACCTGAAAAAGTAAAAAGCCATTAGCAATCCTGCTCCAAGCAAGGCTCCCACAACTATTCCTGTAACTGCTGATTCTCCTAGACCACCTGCTTGAAAAGTGGAAAAATAAACAATCAGGGTTCATATTGAGAACTATTTGCATTCACATATTGGAAAATACACACAACTAGGAACAACATCCAACATCAGATAATAACTAAAGCCTTTCAGAGCTCAGGACTCCATGGGAACCTCTTCCTTAGTTCCAGTTTCTGCATGTTTTTGTCCTTGCTTTCTTTGGGGTTAAACAAGACCCCAAGATCAGTGTCAGAGGAAGACACAATTCTAGAGATGTGATACACAGGAATGTTGTTAAGAAACTGGTCTGGACAGCTTGGTCTGAATCATAACACAGACTGGGATTACAGTGATGGATATACTACGTATCACTACTGAATATGCCCCAAGTCATTATAACAGAAACAAACTCATTTCAACTGGTTTAGCATCATAATCCTCTATCACCCAGGTTTATTAAAATGATTGTATGATTATCCAACAGCTCCTCAATTTTTTTTTTTTCTGAACCTATGCTGTTTCTAGTTAAAGCCATATGAACTTTGCCTTCCTCCAAATGTCAACAGAGGCAGAGCAGGGACACAGTGGCTGAAGTGGAGCCCAGATAAGGACTGTCACTCTGCAAAGTGCAGGGCAGCTGAAGAACAATGGCATTTTCACGTGGGTTCAGCCTGCTCCCTTTTCCATGCCTACCTGGGTTTGCGGAAAGGAACAGAGAAATATTAAGGAAATTAAACTGCTCCCTCCTCTTCATTTATCCATGACCCTTTGAGGGGATTTTGTCTGTACATCAGGCTGTCTGGAAGGAAAAAGGTGCATAGCTACACCATGCTGAGCATAGAGGCTATGGCCTGGAAACAGTCTCTACAGCATGTGTGTACACACAGGTTTTTCAGGGATTGAAGAATTATCAGGCTGCAGATACCTTTTCACCGCAGGGCTAGCAATTTGTTTGCTGTGAAAAGCTAAGACCACCTTTTGCCACTGATTGATATCTTCCTACCCTTACCTCCTTGCAATGTCCTGCTCACTACAACATGGTCTGCAAAGACAGCACGCTGGAAAACAAGGACACTTTCTCTGTGGAGGGTAGTCCCAGTCTTCTGGATTCACAGGCATTGACCCATTCAACTAACTTCACTTCTTCTCAGCCTACTGGGCCCCTCGCAGTGCCTTCTCATAGCATTGAAAATCATTCTGCACTGGGAGAACACTGCTCCCATCAGCACTGGCCTCCCCAGCTGCTAATTATCAATATGATTATACTCTCTTTGGGGCTTCAGTTATATCCTTCTTTCTGGCTAAAAGAGATTTTACCTTTTAGCCCCTGGAAAGTCCTAAAGCCTCCAGGGTCCTGGGCTGTGCATCAAGATTACTGTCATGCTTAATGTCAGGGAAGTGATTCAGACCAATTACTACCCACAGCTGCCACACCTTAATTTCCCAAACAGTCAGCAGAGACATAGTCACTATGTCTCAGCTGGACAACTGTGCTAAGCAATTTAATATGGCCCGTTATGCTGCATCACCACACGGATTCCTCTCTCTGACAGCCTGGGCAGAAGCATTAAGTCACTAAACTTACATGATTTACATGGTGTATTGTTTGTGTGCTCTGAAACTCGGCTTTCATCTAGTCGCAGCCTGCCGTGATTCCAAGGATATTTCACATTTGATCGAATTTCAAAACGCCCTTGCTTTCCATAGTAGTCCCCAATCACCTGTGCAAAAAAAAGAAACGAATGAGAAGATTTTTGTATCAACTTAGGGAAGTAAAACAAACAGGAGAGCAGCATCACTCATTTGAACTCCTGTGGCAGGATGTTGAATCACAGAGAATAGCACTGAAGGGGTCTGTGGAAGGTTATGTAGTGTATACTCTTGCCCCAGGGCAGGATCAGCTGAACAAAAGCATTCCTGACAGATGTTTATCTAACCTGTTCTTAAAAGCCTCCAAAGATGGAGACTTCACAATTCCTATAGGCAATTATTCTGGAATTTAACTGTCCTTACTGTCAGTTGTTTTCCCTAACATGTAACCTAAATCTCCCTTGTTGCAATTATCCTTCACTACTTACCGAATTGCCAGGGGACTTAGAGACTCCTCTTTTCTGAAACATTGCTTTACATATTCACAGGCTCTTATCTGGTCTGCCCGCAAGCAGAAGCTTCTCTTCTATATAAACCCAGTTCACATAAGTTTTTTAACCCTCTGAATATTCCTCCTACTCTCCCTGGGCTTTCTTCAATTGCTCCATAGTGGGTTGAGTGCTCAGGACTGTCACCCAGTTAAGTGAAAGTATCATTTCAAGTACCTTGTGTGCTGAGGTTCCCGACTACACACTCCAGGCTGGACTTTTCTATTTTGCATGGATCTGGAGGTACTTGACCATGTTCAGCTAAAATCTTCAAATCTCCCGATGAACTGTGGCACAGCCTGTCATCCTCCAGCTTGTATTTCTGCAGTTGTTGATATTTCCACAGAAAAGGCCTTTCATGCTTATTATTCTGGTAGCATGGCAGGACTATTATTTCAGACCAATTCATCAAGATACTTCAGAATTTCGGTCCTGTCCTCAACAGTAAATCCAGACTTTACTCAAGATAAAGTGTTGGATCTACTGCAAAGCTGCGGGACTAAATTGTACTAACAGTAGTGGGTTACTCATCTGAAAATAGTTCCAAAAAAATCTATGTACAGTAATAAAGGCCAAATATCATGACGCTGAAGTAGTCAGAAGTGATGGCAGAAGCGTATCAAAAGACATATTTGTCCTATCAGGGAAAAAACCCAAATATATTAATAGACTGGATTTAGAATTCAAGCCACTGACAGCCTGTTCAAATTTTTCACCTAAATTTCATTTTGAAGGGAAAGAGTTAAAAGATAACTTTTGTCCTGGTTAGATACACAAAAGTAGTTTTCACACTAAATAAAGGAGCTAATTTCTCTCCCAGTTTTGCAACTGGGAGATAAATCCTTAGAAGAAAGACTTTTTTAACATTTGTCCAAAAATAGAGGCAAATTGCATGAACTGGAAAAAGTAGAGGGAAAAAACCTCAGAGACCATTTGCAGGCAGCAGACTATACATTAAGAGACTGTTTAATTTATCAAACGGGAGTGGGAGAGTCCTCTACCAGCAGGGCTTACTAAATGTGAAAGCACACAGAAAGGCTTAAGAAGTACAACTAGCTATAAGCAGCGACCAAGTGGATTCAGACCAGAAGTAGGATATAGATTTTTGAAGAGCAAGAGTGGTTAAACAGTGGAACAAACACCGAGGGAGCAAGGGAGGCAGTCCCTGTTCTTCAGTGTCTCCAAATTAAAAACGAATGCCTGTTACCACATGAGATTTAGTCACATGTAAACTACAGGGCTCCATACAAGGGTAAGAAACCTGCCTGCCCGTGACACAGCAGAGGTCAAACTAGGTAATCTTGTGTTTTCTTCCAGCTTTAAACTCTGTGAATGGACCTGGGAAAACAGCTCTGCCTGGACACCCATTCACCTGGCTCAGTTCAGCTGAGGAACATTCTCATACAAACATAGGAAAAATTGGCAAAATTAATAAAACAAGGCATCAAAGAAACAATGTTTTTAGAGTGAGGCATGAGGGTAGAAATGAATATAGCAGACACAAGTAATAAGTAGTCACATGTGAAATATTTCAATTGCATGTATATTTATATACATCATAAACAAAGCAGAGGGAAATTAAAATGAGCAATATGTTAAAAGGAGAAATGTAACATGAAAGAAATAAAAGATAGTTTAAATTGCAAGTGAAAGATCACTGGGAAGAGTAGGAGAGGGGGATTAAACTGATAAACTAGATAAGAAGCTAATGGACCAAACAAAGAGAAAAGATACAAAAAAGTTGTTCAAACCAAACTTATCCCAACAAATCTGTACTCCTAGCTTCAATTAATGATGATTACTCCTACCCTGGGAGTGTCTGCAGTTTATTGCTGTAGCTTTTCAGTCACTTTTACACACCAAAACACACTAGACATCCTGATGCTTTTAAAAACGCTTCTTGAATTTGTCTCTGCCGCAGCACTGACAAGAATAACATAACTTCACTGGATTCAAATCCACACATAGAAATGACCAGCTCAGATTTACTGCCGCTTTATGTTTGAGCTCGATGAAGTAAGGGAGGCCAGCAAAGCTTAGGTTGATGCTGACTTTGCAACTAACAGAAGCTTTATGCTGCAGCTGGAGTTAGGGTAATGTATGAATTAATATTGCTATTAATCATGTTATTCTCTGTGTGCCACTGGTGCTATTTCTCACAGACCATTTTTCACAGTCTAGCTGCTTCCACTCCTGCTGTGTCCAGTGGAATAACCCACGTGGTGTATATGGAGCTGCCTGATTAAAATGTCTTTTAAACCTTGAAAACAAGACATGCAGGTCTTACTCCCTGACAAACAAGGTGAGACAAGGTCTGCACTCCTGCCTGTGGCTGACCACAGAGTAAGATTAAAATACCTGTATTCATTGTGTGTATACATCAGGGTAACTCATGCATCCCTGTTGCTATAAGATTAATCTTCCTTCTTACCGATGAATAAAAGGCCTTGCTCATTTTAAACAATAATTTCCCATATTCAGAATTTATCAGTGCTAGCTAGCTTGTGAGATTTCACCCTTTAAATTTTAAAGACTCTAGTATCATGTGAAGAAAGATGGACTGTTAAAGAAAAGAAGTTAAGAAAGTTTAAAAAAAGCTCAGGATAACTACTTCGAGATAATTATTTTACAGAAAGGATTTGGTCTCCAGGTCGATCAACTTAAGCAATACCATTTTAATGTGTATATTAAATAAACAGATGCCCACCAAGTAAACAGATGATATTGTGTTACATTACATTGGCTAATTCATCAGTGGCCAATTGCAGTGGTGTTTGTTTCCTTACCTCCTGTGTGCCTGCCTCTGGGTCCGTCATTCCAATCACAGAGAAATCCCCATATCTGTCTCCATTGGCATCAATGGACACCTGCCCTGCAATGCCTAAAGAATGGCATGTGAAGAATTAGAAAATTAATTAGTTAAAGTACTGAGTCTTTCCAAGGAAAACAAGAAAACAGTGGACAGGTTTTTACAGACTGATATGACAGGAAACCTCATCAGTCTCCCAGCATTTTTGTTGGCATTCCAAAAGAAATTGTAATTTCACCTCAGTGTCTGCATTCCTGAATTCTTAACATTTCTCCTTTTTAAATTTCAAATGTGTGAGACTGTTTGGGGAATACATAAGAAAAAAATAATCCAAAAGCCAGCATGCAAGAATAAAACACAAATATATTTAACGTGAATTATTTATGGAAAGCCTAACCCTGAAATATCTAACAATGCCTCAATAAGGACAGTCTAGCTCATGTGCTGCAGAGGACACAGGGGCACAGCCCTACGCCCCACAGACTGACAGGGCTGGTGCACCCATACAGCCAGTCCAGTGTTGCTTCCATCTGATGGGATATGGGAGCAGGCGTGGACAAGGGGCACCATGTGCACTACGTATGTATTAAGTCCCGCATTCATTTACATAGGATTAACTGCATAATATGTTTTATATTTTTAGACCCCCAGTTCACTTCCTTCCTTTGCAAGTTCTAGGAAACTTTAGGGAAAGCGGGAATCATAAGAGTCGTAGGATAATTCAGGTTTGAAGGGGCTTCAGGAGTCTTGAGCGTAACCTCCTGCTCAGAGCAGGGTCAGTCAGGGCGTCAGAATAGGACGACGCTCAGGGTTTTATCTGGTTTTCAAAACCTCCAAGGATGGAAACTGTACAACCTCTCTGGAACAACTTGTTCCAACTGTCATGGTGAATAAACACTTCCTTGCATTCAGTCTGAACCTCTTCTTTCAATGTACGCCCTTGTGTACAAAGAGCATGGCTCCAATCTCTTGCGGTCTAAGTCAAACAGGTTCTTAAAATCCATCAAACAATACCAATCAACTATGATGAAGACATTGTAAGACTTTGCTGATATGCTTTATCATCTCAGATATTCTCAAATGTGATCCTCCACTGACACCAACACATAGCCATTTCCACTGGTGCAACTCAAACAGGCATCATTATACATCTATGTTACACCAACTACATGACTAGACCAGACACAAAGCAATAGAGAATCAGGTTCTCAGTGACTGTATATCAGAAGAGAGGGGTCAGATCTTCAGTCAGAGTATATATTCCCCTCAACATACCTAATGATAGTAAACATGCAACAGATTAACACACCTCCATTTATCTTGTCTTTGTTCCCGTTTAGTGAGGTCAGGAATGTTTAAACTTACTGTGATTTTCAAAACATGTAGTGGTCATCGAAAGATTATTGTCAAGAATCTGTTTTGTTATAACAATACAGTAATCAAACAATTGCCTATTTGATTACTGCAGGAAAACAGAATGGGTATTAACAACCACTGGGCTGTGAAAGCACTGGAAGAGGCCACTGTGAAGAGCTGCAGTGTCCTTGCCTACACAGCAATTCGGATTCTGGATCTGACAGGAGGTGTTAATTGGAACAGACACTTTCCTGGCCTATGAAAGCCAAAACTCAGTTTTTAGAAGTAGGTGCTAAAATTTGCTAAAACTCAGAATTCCTATGGGATTTCTTTTTAATGGGAAAGACTAATTTTTAACTTTTCCATCTGAATTGAAACAAAGATATTGAAATGTTGACATTTCCTGCAATGTTCCCCCTTAAGAAATGTATTTAGGAAATTTTGGAACAACCTTAATGAAGAACTGCGTTTGGATGAAGGATTTTATCCAGATTGTCTTTTTTTTTCTATTATGTTAGATACCTACATACAGAAAATTTTGCTATTTTTTCAGAGGAAATGCCAATGAATAGAAAATATTCTCCACAAAAAGTGCCCTGCAGTCATACCAGGGTATCTCTAACAACCCCAGCAGTGAGAAATCCACCTCAGCCTTATCCTTTCCTAAGCACATGATGTTGCCTGTGCCTTTGCAGCTGGCAGACTGTGAACACTGCAGGAAACAGCATCCACATCCCACTGAAGTTCTGATGGGTCTCCTATTCAGAGCAGGCTGTAAAATGAGGTGCCCAGGCAACTGGATATCTAGAGGTCAGCAGTTAAATTGATGTCATTAATGAAACTGGAGTTCTCATCATCAAGGCCCGCAAAAGTTTAAGTGAATTATAAAGCTTCAGTCCTGCAGTAGAGCCTGGTGGGTGTATGCATGGACCATACTCTGCGATGCTGCAACCACTTCAGAGAGGGGCTTACGGGCAGAATAAAGGGACGTAATTTTCCTAAAAGGACTGGCTTGCAAGACATCAAGTTAAAGGCCTCTTTCAAAATCTGTTTTATCCTTGTAAATTATGTCCAGCAAAGTACTGCCACAGGGAGGAGATGGTATATGACTTAGATAGCATTTTGACCTTTTCAGCTGCACACTCACAGCTCAACTTGACAGCTACATTTTCAGAATAGCTGTGACAGGTCAGCCAGCAACAACAAACTAGTTTTCACAAGTGGGAAAAGAGAACATTTTTTCCTCCCGGCTAGTTTTACAAGAAAGGTGTGAGAATCGACCACAGAACCTGCATGGAGCACATGGTACTATAAAAGACTTGCATGGGCACACCAGCTGGTGGCTTCCTGGAGCAGAGAAGCAAGAGTAGAGAAAATACAGACAGGCTGTGCTGGGGCATCTGTTCATACACAGGATAACCAAACAGTGAGGCAAATCCTTAGACACACAAATTCCCTCTGTTAAAACAGTATGTCTTGGGAAGCCATGGATGCGAAGGGAGGTAGTGGGACATCAAGCACAATCTCCAGCTGGTGCAGGGCTCCTTATGGGATGACTGCAACCAGCATAATTAAAGCAATCCCTGTGTTGCCTTAAGCTGCCCTGGAGATCTTTTTGCCTTGTGTTCAGGCCACAATTTGAGAACAGAAAAGAGGTTTGGAGCTGCTGTCCTTCTTGCCTTCCTTCACTATGTCCAGTGTGTTCTTAGAGCAGAGAACCTGGCCACTGAGTTTTTTCTTACACATTCAAAATAATCATTCACTTCTTATCTAGGGAAAATGTCTCCTCTTAGGGATTTTCATAGGAAATCTCGCCAATCCTACACCAAAAGATTGGAGTATTATAAGAGATGGATGGGAAAATTCTAAGAGATGAGAGGTGAATCCAGTAATCCTCTGTTTCTTTATTATGATCCCTACCTGGCAAAAGCACTCACACCGCTTTGCATCAGCAGGGTGAAATACAAGTGCCAGTTGCACTGCGGAACTGCAACCTACAGGATTAGGCATAGAACGGCACAGTGCTATTCAGCTCCTGTCTCTGAGATAACACACACAGCTCCTGAAAGGAGGCTGGGGGGGGGTAATCCTTCTAGGATCCAAAGGAGCCCTGTCAAGAAACAAAATAACCTGGCACCTGCTTGCTTCTATCCATTCCCAGGCTTTTAAGATAAAAAAGTCAAATGGAAAAAATGAAGCAGTCTCAGAGCTAAAAGATGCACATGAGTAAAGCGAGCAGCTGTAATCTTTTCAAAAACAAAAACGGAGCCTGAGAAAATTATTGGTATTTCTTTATAACATCAGTGAGGGTCATTACATTGTTAGGAGTTTTTTGACCTGAGTAAGACCTCAAGGGCTGGTGAAAAAAAAAAGTCAGACTAGTGAGGTATGTGAGCCATATGGTTTCATATGGTTATTTTCCCCTCATTTAAGAGTGGAATAGGCCCAGGTCCTTACTCTGCACGCAACAGAAACCTGAATTTTTTTGACTCTGAAGCTGGAATTCCATATTAACTCTCACCTTCGTATGTTCTGTTCCGTGTTTGCTGAACAATTTTTTCCCCATCTTTCTTACTGAAGCCAAACTTCAGGACTTCCTGTAAAGCTAGAGCATAAAGAAGAATAGCATCATGGAATCCTTCCACAAACATGTTCACCTACAAAAAAAAAAAAAAAAAAAGAAAATAAAAGCAATAGCAATTGACACATGAAAAACTTTTCTTCCCTGCGGAATTGATTAACTAAGGGGAATCTCCAAATTAATCAAAATGACTGATTTGGAAGGTTATTTTCTCAACTGCTGGAACACAAAGGAATGTGTCTAAAAAAAACTCAGGGGGAAAATGGCAACTTTTGACTCATTTTTAAAAACAGTTAACCACTATCTGCTATTCTGAACATTCAAATCGCACTTTAATGTTGTGTCTGAATAGCTCTGCAGATAGGGGAGAAATTTACAGATCACAGTTCCCATGCCCAGACGCACAAATTCTGCAGCTGACCACATGAGATTCTGTAAGGTACTGAGCAACCCCATCCCACAGCACTGAATATGTCCTCCTGCCCCTGCACTGAGGACTTAGCACCTCTCAGGATTGGGAAGTATGTTCTGCCATGATTTTTTTTGGAAAGCGCAACTGGTGGATTTGCTTGTTTAATGATTACCACTTCCACTTCTGGCCCTTGTTCAGCTGAGCATCTCTCCACTAGCAAATGAGCAATGGAGGAAACTACTTACCCTCTACAGTAATGCATTCTCTGGAACTGCCAGGAGAACAGTTTCCTGTCCTTTACAGTTTTTTCAGTAAGTGACACGAAATGAATGAAATGTTGTTTTCTAACCCTAATATAAAAGAAGACTGCTGCCAACCAGCTCTGCCTCCCACAAGTCTTCGTAAGCAGCCTACAGCTTTTGCTCTACATCACTGTGAGTAACAACAACAGCTAAAAGCAGAGTGCTGCAGAAACATTACAGGTTTACTCACAGAAGCCTGGTGTGCTTCAGTGATGAAGCCGTAATTACTTCAGGAGCTGAGTACAGATGGAGACCCATAAGCAGAAACAGACACACATGGCTTGAGCAGTACAGGTATTCCTCTTCTGTAAGCAGCAGCTTGCATCTCAGTAGTGCAATGCACCCTGCCTTGATGCACAATAATTCAGAATGAACTATCTTTTCAGCTGCAGGAAAGATGTTCCCATTCACTCACAGTTTCATTACAATGGAAAAGCTTCTGACATCCTAGCAAAGGTGTAATCAATGATTATACCACATTACAAGGTTTCTTATTGCCATTTCCAGTGAACAACCCACCTCTACAAATATTCTCCTGGATAGAAACAACATTTAGCTTATCTTCCACTTCACTGTATCTAAACAATTTAAAATGTTGGTAAGTAAAGTGTTACTCTAACTCTCACAGTTTTAAACATTAAAAATGGACATTAAAAATGCTAAAAGATAAAAACATGTAGCCAGTTAAGTAAACAACTGCTCCATAGATAAAAAGTATTACATAGTTGATTGGCTAAGCCGAACTGATCAAGCCCCTGGTAATGTAATTACATGCAAGACATTCCTTCACTCTTAAACCAGCTGCCAACAGTAAGGAGAATTTTGGAATTATTTACTGATAATACTAAAGTTTACATTGCTCTGGCATTTAAAATTGGACTTTTAGATAACTCCAACCTATGTTTCATTAAGAAAATGCACCAACAGTTTAGAGGAAGAGCCCACAGTGCTACAGAAGGCACAGAACAGCTCAGCTCAGTCTGACAGCCAAAGACTAAAAGGCAGCTGCAGTTATTCTGACCTAAGGAGAAAGCGTGAAAGAAGAGGTGAAAGTCAGGCTTTTGGGTGAATAACAAGAGCTGACGGACAGAGTGCACACTAGGACAGGCTTTACCAGCAGGGGATTTAATTTTTCAGAATTGAAAAAAAACCCCAAACCAAGAAACCACAAAGCTCGACAACTGCTTTCTGTGCCAGCGTTAGAGTCCAAGTGGCCTGTGGATGATCAAACAAGGGCTTTCTTGAAGTGACACTCATTCTCTGAGGAGAGAAATGAGTCTCTCTAGTTGCTTTACCTCCCTGCTGGCTGATTTACAGCTTGTGGCTGGCATCCGTTTCAAGGAAAGCTATTTATCACTTCCTTTGTCCATGGCAAAGACCCCTCAGTGTAACACAGCAACCTTCAAAATCCATTTTGTCAGCTTATTTGCTCAATCTGAAATCTACACATGCCACCAGCCTGAAAACCCTCCTGTAGACACTGCAGATTTGCCAGATAAGCCCTGTCAAAACTCACTTGGCAGTTGGAACATTAATGCCACAGCCCCTTGCCTTGACTCTTGGCCAAAAGCCCTGACATTACATGCAAAAAATCACATTAGAAAATCATCAGAAGATTGTCTGTGACACCTCTCAGTTCCTCAGGCACAAACCCCAGCATTTTATCCTATGTTGTCAAGGAAGGTGAAACTGCAGGTAATTTATGCCATTTCAAATCTTCTGAAAGAGTAATATCTACTGTTTGCAGGTGAGACTGCACCTACACTCCCCAGCTAAACGATATATTGGGCACACCAACTACATTTCACATTATTCTGGGAACATGTTCAAGCACCAGTTTTTGAAAGGGAAAACAGGATGCCATGAAGGTCATAAAGTCTTCCTGCATATCTTGCGCGATCATTAAGTTGCCACGATCCTACACAGAGAATGGGTTGCATGATGTGTAGGACTGCTCTAACCTAGAAAGGAGAAAACATCAGAGACGGGAGGAATATCACAACATGAAGTAATGGCTGCAGATAATTTTGAAGGGATTGCTCTTTCCTCATTCCATTTTCCACCTGTCCAGAGCTCACTCAGGTTCATTTTGCAGCCCTGTTCCCTGTGACTGTCTACAACAGATCCCCTGAGTAAAAAGAGTGCAAAATTTATTCCATCTGATACCACTCCTGACTTATTAGAACAGTGTCTCAAGCCATATAGTCCCAGAACTTCCTTCCTGGACAACATTAACTCTGTTAATGATACCTCATGTACCTCATGGGTATGAAGGATTTTCTTTCTTCTTCTTTTTTTATTATTTTAACATAGCTTCTGTTCTACCTTCGGTCCTATCAGAAATGATGAAACAGACCGACACCAAATTTTCCTCAATAATTTTTACACTTTTTGGCCTGTGTTTATTTGAATTTTGGAATACCTGACAGTAAGAATAAATAATACTTACAAAAAACCCCCGATCCTTCCTTTGCTGCAGGAAAACAGTTAAAAAAGGCTAGAAGAAGTGTATGTGCCATGAATGTTTCAAATAGGAATGACAGTAAATGTGAAGATGTCTTCATAGGTTGCCTGACGGTCTCGGTGGAAATTAATAATGTGTGGTTCAACATTAGACAGCCCTCAGGACAAATCTAAACAGATTATAAAAGCTATTAAAGATCCACTAATCTTGTAGGTAATTAACAGTTCTTTTAGTTAAGCTCTAATAAAACGCAGAAATTTTTTATTATAGTATTTTTCATTTTGATTTATGCTGGTTTTTTAACTACAGGTGTGAGTTGAGCTCCAAATGCTGTGATCATAATTTGCATGCCAGGTCTACCAAAATGTTGCTGTCCCTGACTCGTACTGCACAGCAGAGCCACCCCTTAACATGTGTCATCAGCAATGTGAGTGGCAGCAGAGAAGCTGCCAGGTTTGCTGAACATCTTTGGAGGCTGCAATACAAATATGTGGAAACTCCCCTGCTAGTATATCTTCCCTATTACTTTCACATCCCACGCAAGGTACCACATAACTAAAAACCAGGTAAGCTAACTGGATGAGATAAGCAAACATTTGAACCTTCTATTTTCCTACCTTTCTCCTCTAATTAGCCATCTTCCATTAGAAAAAAAAAACAACCCTTCTCCATGGAAATCACATGAATAAATTTTACACAGTTTGAAGTTATAGTTCCCCAAGCAGCTATAGTATGACCACACTATTCATATATACCAAGGTGTTAACAGCATATACAGCAATGCAAAATACTACCAACGTGGAAGACAGCCAAGCTACAGCTATGCAGGACCCATAATTTTCCATATCCTGCCCACTGACTGTTAAGTAAGCTTATTCTCTTCCATCTGGAACTGCCCAGCTCTGAATCACAGCAATTACAGCAATTCATACCACTTCAGTGCTAGGTGGGGAAGATCATCATCACTTTTTCTCTACTACAAAAGCAAACAGCTAACATTCCCCAAACTCGGTCTCTGCATCTTCTTCCCAGTACATCCGCAGTGATTTTCAAGTTGTCAAACTATAGTCCCTGCCAAAATCAGTGAGGACCCTGGGGGATTGCATAGGGTGTACCCAGACTTTTTGCAAAAATCTTACCAATTTACATACTTGACATGATGCTTAGGTGAGCTAATGCCCACTGAAAGCTCACTGGTATTTCACCCTCTTTCAGATTAGTCCACAGGGATGAAATTTAAGCAATCAAATATGGGAGTTTGATCCTATAAACACATGAAGCTCATCTAACCTCAGGACTATGAACGCTGTAAATGAATCCTCGTGAATTTTACTAATACTGTATTATACTGTAAAACTATAGCATGACACAGTAAAAATATGGCAATGAAGTTCAAATACAGCAACTATATTTCAAATATATAAATGCTATGGTGTACTTCAAACCAACCTTATGCCAAGTTGGTTCACCTACTTCATTGCTGTGGACTTCTCCAGCACAGCAACACATCTAACAGTTTAGGTAGATGTTTTCCTACTATCTCATGCTGTTTCAATGTATCTCAGTAAAACAGTCTTTTTCTAAGCAGTTACAATTTAACTGTCAGTTCTCTCTTTTTAATCCTTCTTCACCAAGCCAATTATAATTACAGTACTTCCTTTATGAGCTTTTCCAAGAAACCCTGACATAGTTAACTTTTTAACATGCATTTCTTGACATGTATCTTTGGTTGTTTTCTGTTGATTGACTCACTATCCAGCAATATACCCTTCATTTAATTTCTGAGCAGGGACTTTACTCTTTGATACCATTTGCTGATGTTACATGCTCCCATTCAGGACATCACTGCTGATGATGCCGTTGTTAGAAGTACTCCTTTATGTCCCTGGGATGCCCAG